AAAAAAAAAAAAAAAAAAAAATCAAACAGCATTTTTCAGTAAGAAACATTTAAAAATGGGACTTCACTTCTTAATTTTTTACTATGAATAAAAGCACAACTTTGTCCTAAATACAGCACTATTAAAAATGTGAATATGTATTTCTTTTCTTCAAAAAAAATCTAAAATGTTGATATCTTTTCTTGCAAGCAAGGAGCAAATGGAAGAAAGTATTAGGCCACACAAATACACATTTAATTCATGTAGTAGATTGGTGGCTTTGGAAATGCAGTATTATATCAAAGGTGCATACTGTTTCAAACACACTGTACATATCATTGGGCAATAACAAAGATCTGTTGGTTTGTTTGAGACACTTGCAAAGGCATCTTAACCTGCCCAGATGCAGCTAGACAAAAATATCTTGCTCTGACTATATGTAGCCATATCACTAAACATATCTACACAAACATTCGGCTATGTCCACAGGTAAAGACTGAAAGTTTCCGGCCGCACTACAATGCGGAACAAGTGCATCGTCTGACCTATTCTGAATATACTTTTATAAATATGTACAAATCAATTACAGGCACTTGAAATGTCTTTGGTTGGAATAAACCAACATTGCAAGATAATGGATTCACAGAGTGTTAAGACCCATTCTGGGTTCAGAAGGCAATGATCACGGTTCTCAGTCATTCTCAGTAAAAGGAGAGGATGGATTACGCTTCTGACAAAGCAACCTAAACAACAGAAAAAGAAAACATTTAATTGAAGCCAAGTTCTTAATCCCGTAACAGTGATATTACTTATCTCTGTGCAGCTGGCATATCTGTCCTTGCTTTTTCAAGAAACCTTGAAAAGTCTAACTTGGAAAGGAAATCAAAATAAGTCTGAAGGTGTTTTGTACTTAGCATAATCAATTTTAAAAATGAACAAAAAACACCCCCCAAAAACCCAAAAAAACCCAAAAACCTCAAAACAGCTTATACTACAAAATATTAAGATCAAAAGGTGTGAACATTAGCTTCCTACTTCACAATTAAATATATTCATATTTAATCCTTCAAGCAAAGTGCAGGTCTCCAAAGCAGTACTGAATAATGATTGTTTCAAGAGCTTTGCCGTTGTTTTGATTTCATTCTGATTCACAACCATTAGAATTACGTATCATCTTTTACTCAAAGTTTTCAGTCTGCTGTGATAAGAGACAGGTAAAGCTACTCCATGCTATCTATTCGATGCTTCATACAAAACTGTGCAAGTAAGATCAGAATTGTGGCAGAAGAGTTGTGTTACAGCACTTACTGAACTGCAACAACCCACTTCTGCAGGAGAGAAATCTAACTCTGAGGATGTACAAAGCAAATGTATTTTGTAGCACCCGTCTGTACTGTCCACAATGAAACACCCACATACGTCTCTGAAAGGGAATTAAATCTACACCTCCCGAGATAAGAAAAAACAGTTTGTATTACATAAAAGAGAAGGTTTTATACGGTTCCTTATCAGAGTCAATATTTTGTTATTACACAGACTCACCTTTTCAGAGCAGAATTCTGTATTGCTTTGCCTCAGTTTGCTTGGTCTGCCTTTAATAACTGCATAGCAGAACATGGTAATCACCATCACAAAAAGAAAGTAACTGGTATGCATGAGGTGCAGGTTTATTAGAGAGCGATCATCCTGCAGAGAGAATTAAAACCATTTACTGACAATGCACCAATAGCTGGCATTTTATATTAAAGCAATAATTATCACATCAGCACAGAAATTACCTCATGAATCAACTTTCTCCCCTTTGCGCAGCTGGCACAGTAATGAAAGCGATTCCTAATTGTGACACAAAGAGCCAGAATGTTCCTCACGTTAAAAAATCTGTACTAGGGATCTCTTCTATATACTGGCAGTGTCTTTTGTCAAATGATTTCAAAATATAAATGTTATTAAAAGCTGTGAGGCACACGGCGATTACATGAAGGCCATCATGCCCACCAGGCGTAACGCACATCCAATTCTGTCTCAGCCCTTGCACTACATAATAAATTAGCACTGAATATGACTATTTTAGGACATGAGCAGAACCATATTCAATTAAACAAGAGCTAAGCATTTATTCAACATAACATACAAAAACACTGCGGCACTTACATCTGGAACTATAACAGTTAGTTTGGGATTTAAAGCATGATACACTTTTCCGATTGCTCCTTTGTAACACCAGAAAGGGTTATAATCTTGTGCATATTTTGTATTAGAGTCCCTTGCTGTGGTGAAGATCTTGTACCAAAGTGTAGCATTGCTGTATGTTTCCGGAACACAATGTGGTGGCTGACTGCAGAGAAACAGAAACAATTAGCACCCCGATTGCCACTGGCCATGTTCAGTAAGGCTAACTTTTAGAGCTGAGTCAAGCACAGCCTTCTCAACAGCAGCATAAAACACAGCGTTATTTTGGACCTTCCGAAACAACAACAAAAAACAAAGCTTAACCAAAAGAATATATAAAAAAACATACAATTCCTATACTAAGATTAGAATTTAACTGCATGCTGTTCCAGTAAGTCAACATCCCACAGCTTCAGTAGAAAACCACCGGTTTTCATAAGGCTTCACACAGTCATGTGGATCTATGTGGTGGTTCTCCAGGGTATACCGAATAGTGTCAGGGAGTCTAGAGGAGACAAAGGGAAACTATTTTGATGCAAAGTCTGTACCTGCTGGGGTATGGTAGCAAAGCAGCATTTGGCTTATGCTGGTGGATGTGAGCGGCTGTCATCTGGAGCCGGAAGCCTGCCTGCACACTGTTAAGCAGTACCTTAACTTCGGCGGAACTGGAGGCAGAAGCGTGACTAACAGATTAAATAGGATAAACTAAGGTAACTCTGGTTACTTTGGTTACGAAACTCTTATTTCCTTAAAAGGTTATAAATAACTCAGAAAGCTGCCTAGAACAAAATCTATACAGCCCACTACAGAAACTTTTCTGAGAATTAAAAAAAACTTAAGAAGGGGGGTTGGACTAGATGACCCACAGAGGTCCTTTCCAACCCCTAATATTCTGTGATCTCTCAGCAGGGAACTGGATAAGAACCTTAGTGTCAAGCCTTCGCGCTCTCACAAGGTAGTGAAACTAAATTATAGGGTATCTTTCTTCAATATTCACAGATTCTTTTGTTCTTAGTGAAGTGTAAGTCACAGGGAACACGTTGAAAAGCAGGCAGGGACTACAGTTCAAAACATCCACAGAAAAATCTAGTGTTGCTGAAAGACAGCAGAAGTCTCAAGACAGGGTTTTTACTGGGGGGAAGGAGGGCAGGTACTTCATTTCTACAGTCAACAAAGTCCATCAGCAAGTAAGAACCTCCGAGAACCAGCGGAGGAATTAATCACACAGTAACCAGTCTACGAAAGTGTGTTGAAACTGCACTTACACTGTGACAGGAAACACGTTGCTGGCCGCCGTCACAGTCATGCAGGTTGTGAACACAACCTGCTCACAGTGGCCATGAAGAACGCAGTCATCTGAATTCCAGGCAGCCGGCAGGGTGAATGTAATATTTATCTCCTCATGGGATTCTCTGCCTTTGAGAAAGAGAAGGAAAAGCTGGTTTTCGTTCACAAAAGTATCTGAGCAACAATCACTAGGATAAGGACAACGTGCAATTGACTATGGCAGTGTCACCCTGAATCCGTACCTTTGAAGTCATCCAGGATCTCCATCAACAAAGAGAGCAAAAACAAAGTTGAAAAAACAAACCAAACCAAAGCACAAAACCCCCAGCTGCTGGTCTTTCTGATCTCTCCTGCCCCTAGCAGTTGGGTCATTAGGCTCCTTTCAGAAATTAAAAACTCACTATTTTATAAGTGAATTCACGCATGGTCAGAGAACTTTATTAGAAAGTAAAATCACAGATCTTTAGCCTTTCTCCTCCCAAAGACTTAGTTCCACGTTTGCTTTTTCTGACGCTTACATTTCAAATTGCAGATACTCGTGTAGACAAAAAGGTGCCAGCAGATACTGAACTGCAGATTAAGTCGCGTATATTAACTCCATGCAAATATATTCATACTGAAATAAATCCAGGCTACTGGAAATGGAACTTGGCATTTGATAGCTCTTAAAGCAGTAACAAAATAGAATACAGTAAAACACATTTACAGCTATGGCAAATGCCTCTTCACAGGCCTCCGAGGTTCAGGACACACCTTCAGGCATTGTTGTAAAATGCAACCCTGGCTAAAAGCTAAAATCCATTGAGGTTCTATTATCCATTTCTACGAATTCTCTGCAATCTCCTGTCCAAACTTGCTGTCCAGGCAACTACATAACAGATCAGTCTCGTCACACCACAGAAATTTTAACCATCTTATTGGTTGCTGTTTGCAATTTTAAGGCTTATTTATGTATGCATTTCAGATAAACTGTATTTTTTAGACAGCATGCTACTTGATCTCTAACATATGTACATGAATGCCTTCAAAATGCGAGCTAAGGACCTGAAGATATATTGAGAGAGAACTGAAGATAGTCACTGTAGAAGTTTTCGCTGCTCAGACTTTTGTTGGCTTAAAAATTACCTTCCATTGTCATTAGGTTAATCATCTAAAAATGCAAAGCCTAATCTTGGTAAACCTGCAGGTTCTTTCCTATTCTGAATGCAAGGAAAAGCTTTTCTGGCAAACAAATGAAGAGCTCTATATAGGAACATACTCAAAAACAAATCTGGAAATATATGTATGTTCTAAGCAAAAGATTTATCTCACCAATAATAAGCCGGTGAGATTTTATTTGATTACATAGTTATTACTCAAATCTATGAAGGTCAAATCTTGCACACCTGAGAGTCCAATTTGATGTCCAAAAATTGTGGAACTTAGATGTGTGACATTGCGAGAATATCCACCAAATGGTCGGAGTGGGTCCAGCGTCAACGTGATTGTTACAGAGATATTTATTGGACCAGAGTCCTCGAGAGCTTGTGGAGACTGAGTCGAAGATCTCGCCTGTCCGCTGGTCACAGTACTTTCTGGAGTTGTGGTATCATTGATGAGATGCTTTAAGGTTTCATTCTCAGATATACAGAAGTCCAAATCATTAAACCTCAGGAGAAAGGTATTCCAGTCCTTAAACAAATATGAAGATTTCAACCAGATTAGCAAGTTAACTCCTGGCTGCCACTTCTCTAGAGCAGTGCAGACCTCGACACGTACCATCCCGCCTGCAGTTCCAAGCCGTTCAACAAAAATTGCATGGCTCACAAAGCAAGCGCAAGTACCACCACGGCTATCTCAACAACGGGGCAAGGTGTTTACAGCAGTCAGACACATTCAACCCCAGCCACCACCTGACCACTGCTCAGCACAGCAGCAGAATATCCATCCGCCTTTACACTACAGAGGGAATATACTAACTCGGTCCGTTCTCGCCACGCTCAGGACACGAGTGGTTTCTAGCAGAGTTTCCCTCAGGACAGAACAGTATGGCTAGGTAAGAAGTTTCACAAACTAGCTAGCTGACACAACACAGTAAGAAAAAGAAAAGCTTCAAGCGGTAGTAGGGAAGATCCATGTCAGATGAATTGGCCTTACCCTCAAACCAAAACAAGACTATTCAACCTTTCATACCAACAGCCTCTTTCCTTATGGAATTGGAGGCAAGAATAAATGAAGACAATCTCCTGTAAGACTCTGCACACTCCCATGAGAGAGTTTTTTTGGGGAAAAAAACAAAGTCGTTAGCTTTGGGCATGTTTCTCAAATTAGTATTCCCACTGTTTAGCTCAGGAACTTTTTGTACCTACCTCTGTCATTTCTGGTGATTTGATCTCCTTGATTTTGAAGAAATAACCCAGTGTCAGAAAAGCTATTGCCATAGCACTTACACTGATCATAAAGACCACAAGCGGAGGTCGACTGCTGATGTAAACCTTCAGGTTCTCCAACAGGTTTATGTTGAACATTATTCTGATTGTTCACCTAAAAATAAAGAATATCATAACAGAGTGACGGGGCTGTGTGTATTACAGGGTGGGGGTTGGTAGATCACACAAGTTTGACAACAAAAAATGGAATCATATACTAAAATGAGATTCAATTATATGACTCTGTACTGTCCATTGAACACATGCCTTAAATAAAGCACAAATCAAAACATGCTTGACTTCACCTTCTCAGCGCCTGAAATTGTCAGCTAGGAAGAGATTTTAAGAAATGAGGACAACTTCTGGCACAGCCAAATATTGCTGATAAGCAATAAAACCAGTTCTTTCTTTCCCCATATACCTAGACAGGATATACATTGCCATACTTTAGTTCCAGTAATATTTGAATTCATCAAACTACAGTGCAGATGGAGTTGTAAGGCAGTCCACAGATCAAACTTTGCACATCCCTGCACATACTTTCAAAACTGAGGCTGAAACCTTAAAGATCCCCTTTTACCCCATCCCCAGCCTCAAAGGACCAGACCTTCAAAATGGAATCCAAAAAGCAGCCTACATCATTTTAGGCTTCTGCATCAAGAATCCTGTGGTCAGAAACACTTAACAACTGCATTAGGGTGGATGCTGGAAGAATCCTTTATTTGATTCTTGTAGGACCTAGAGAACTTTTGCTAGAGTCTGTAAACACAGAGAGGACCCTACACGTGCTGACGACATATATTTTCCCTGCTCGCTGCGGGGGGGTTGGACTAGATGACCTCTAGGGGTCCCTTCCGACCCAAAACTTTCTATGATTGTATGATTGAATCAGTCATTTTTGTCCAAAATACAGTATTTTGTCTGATTCCCCTTCTGAATTTTCTTTTGATTTGCAGAGCAGAAAGACACAAAATAAGTTTATTTTTTCAGCTTCCCCACCTCCACTCACAACAAAAAGCAAATCGCCCAGTGTTAAAGGTCAGCCTTGCGGCACCTACTTCAGAAGCTCTGCAAAGAAGGAACTTCAAGCAAACCTCTTATCTTTGCCTTACCTACAACCTGTTTGAAAAGGCTTTTAACCCCAAATAAACTAGAAGGACAGTAACTGTTCCCAGCAGTGTGTCGCTTATCCCCAAAATTCTCAGAAAAAGGCAAGCTTCAAGACTAGTACTTAAAGAATTCAGCACTGCAATGGTTAATGCGTCAGCATTCACACAGATCTGCAAACTTTTATCTAAGCCAGGGACTCTACTCCTTGCAGGTGTGGGTGATTCTCGTTGACTCCTGCTGGAAGTACACCTCACTCACAATCCACCTGTGGTACGGCTGAAGCCATGGTAAGTCTGAGGACCAGAGTGGGACAGGTTTTGAAAAAGAGGGCAAGGGAGGGAGAGAGCAATCTTTGATCTGATCTACTGATTTAAAAGAAACCAAGAGGAGGGAAAAGGACAAGCTTTCAGACAAAGTCTTTTTCAGATCCCACAGTGTACAATGATCACAACTTTCTTGTATATACTTGAGAGTTTACTGGCAGAAATGCTTCTGTTATTCTTAACAGAAGGAATAAGGACAAAACCTGCAAAACTGCTCTAGAAGAGAGGGGAAAATTCAACTCACTGAGAAGAGACCTGAGATCCTGCAGCAATAACACAACACCGAGCTGCGTGTGCTGACCTTCCCTGTCTCCTCCCCACACACCTACTTGCTCGCCTTGGTGAAATCTGCTGAAACAGGGCTCACTCCAGAGCACAGGATCATGTCCTGGGCTTACTATTTTGCACCATCAACCACTTTTCATCCACTCTGTAAAGACCAGGAAAGCTGGCAACCTGACATCAGCAAGAACGACGGGGTGACACGCACCTCTACAAAAATACAGAGTGTGTCAGAGTGAAAAGCGCAGTGCGGAGAAAGGACGGACAGAAGAGAGGGAAGAAGAGGTGATGACAAATGTGCACCTTACCAGAACTTCTATCTTTGCCCAAGACCGGCTGGGCTACGGACAAACAGGCCAGTGAAGGTGTCGGGAGAAGGCAGGAGTGAGAGGGGAAGGGAGAGCTGGTGTTGGGAAGGATCATGCTGGGTACGATCCAGACTCCCGTATGTTCTGCCTCCTGGCTTGTCACTGGCAGCAAAATTTCCTAAATGAGCCCGAGTTAAAAATCCCAAACGCTCCATCTAGAAACACTGGAGACATACATTGAGATGGAAAAAGACCAAAAGATAAACCAAAAGCAGAGCTGTATTCAGTGTTCCCTTCTGAATTTCCTTTCGAAAATAACAACAAAGATGCAGGTTTTATTACGGCATTTAATCAAAGTTGAATGTCACCCACAGCATATACAGTACTGTGATCCCTTTTTAAAGGGGCTTCCAACAGCTCCATTAGCATTCTTGTTTACCACAGGGTCTAAAATCAGCCATAAAACTGGATGCACTGAAAAGGATACATAGAAAACTATCTGGGCTAGTATTTTTATGTAAGAGATCACCAGCTTTTAAGTGCCGGTTGCTTAATATGCTGCCATAACTCAACGGCCTTGAAAGCAATTAGAAAATGCTGCAAGCCGCAGTTCCCGAAGGGTAATATGGCTGTTGAGATTTTGCGAGAGAAAAGGGAACAACTGCGGATTTCAATACTAGAGGTGACATGAAAATAGCAATTGGACATGGTTAGTGCAAATCGGAACTGTTTCCACACTGCTGCCCGAAGAACTTCCAATTTTTTATGAAATAAAGCGCTTAAATAACAGTAATTATCAAAGAACTTGTGAAACAGATCACAGAATGGCAGGGGTTGGAAGGGACCTCTGGGGATCCCCCAGCCCAA